CTTTTTTTTTTTTTTTTTTTTTTTTTTTTTTTTTAAGGCGGGATCACATCCTTTTTTTTTCCCGCCAAAAACTAGATCATATTCTAGCTTCTAATCTATCATTTATTGATTTCGTATATACATTTTCCACCCCATCTCTCTAGAATCAACTACAATTTTTTTCTTTTATACACAAACACCCATTCCATTCTACTAGCAATACACAGAAAGGAGAGAAGGATCGTAAGAGAAAGAAAAATTAGAGAAAAATGAGAGACCGATAAGGGTAAGAAATCGAGAGGGTTTGTTGTAGGGAGAGATAAATACACATAGGAGAGATCGAGATTATAGTAAACATAAAAAGAGAGGAGAGAAAAGAAAACAATTACACCATCTGCAATCTAAGAGATTCGTCCTCTGTATTGCGTATCTCAGTTTCTCATTCAACACTCATGATTTATGTTTACCTTACTTCAGGGCTGATCTTTTATTTTTATTTTTTGTTATCCTTTTGTACCCCTCTCATAGGTTTCCATGTGTTTTGTTCTATATGTTGGAATCCTAAGTCGATGAGGACTTGGAGACCAAGCAATCTAGTTTATGGAAAGTTTAGTTTATGGCAAGTTGGTCATAAATTTCCTAGTCTAATACAAGTTGGTATGTTAGGCTATATATACGTGTCCATAATCGAGTTTATGATTATGAGAACAGATTGTAAAAACATTGGTTTTGAGTGATTTTCCAATTAATCAAAGAGTTATTTTGGTTATTTGTTTTGCATTCTTGTTTTCAAAACTTTAATTGGTATCAGAGCTTAGGTTGAGAAGCTGTGAGATCGATTTGTACCTGTTGACGAGTCAAGTCAACATGACAGATACAGGGGGAGAAGGAGAAGCTCCGGTGAGAGTGAAGGAGGTTGGGACAACCTCAATTTTGTGTCCGATGCTCACATCCACTAACTACACCGTGTGGGCAATGCGTATGAAGGTTGTCTTATGCATCCACAAAGCCTGGACTGTGATTGATCCAGGAACCGATGTCAATGAAGAAAAGGACTGCCTTGCCATGGGTTTGCTATATCAAGCCCTACCAGAAAACCTCATAATGCAGATTGGAGATCAGGATTCAGCCAAGAAATTGTGGGATGCGATTAGAGCACGTAATGTGGGCGCAGATAGAGTCAAAGAAGCGAGATTACAAACCTTGATGTCGGAATTCGATCGCCTGAAGATGCTCGAGTCAGAAACAATCGATAGCTTTGCCGGAAAGCTGTCCGGAATCGCGTCTACATCGTCGGCATTAGGAGAAACGATTGAGGAATCAAAATTAGTGAAGAAATTCCTCAAATCATTACCCAGAAACTTCATTCACATCGTTGCATCTCTTGAACAGGTACTAGATTTAAAATCGGTAGGGTTTGAAGACGTAGTGGGTCGATTGAAGGCATATGAAGAAAGAATAAGGGAAGTCGATGCTGGAGAAGGACAATCGAGGGTTCTATTTGCCGAAAAATCGACCGGAGATGGAGGTGGGTCGTCAACTGGTGGGGGTAACTCATCGGGAACGAAGGGAAATTGGAAAGGATCGATTGGGTCTAATAAAGCAAATGAGTTTAATGGGACTAATGGGTCAAGTGGATCCGGATATAGTGGGTTATCCAGGTCGGGCGGATCAGGCGGGCCCAAAGGGAATAATAGGGTTTCTCAAAGCAGTCGGCCCAATAAACTGTCCAATTCTAATTCTGATTGCAAAAATTGTAATTGTTGTTGTGGGAAGAATCGGAAAAATAGGGAAAAGGATCGATCTAAGGTGATTTGTTTTCGGTGTGACAAACCGGGTCACTTTGCTTCTGAATGTCCGGAACGACTCCAAAAATTAAAAGACGGTGATTTTTCGGAACGTGACGACAGTGACGAATCCGTTTTTTAAATACGGATCGGGTTGAAGAATTCTCTAGAAGGACTTAGAGATTCGGGGGTGATTGTTGGAATCCTAAGTCGATGAGGACTTGGAGACCAAGCAATCTAGTTTATGGAAAGTTTAGTTTATGGCAAGTTGGTCATAAATTTCCTAGTCTAATACAAGTTGGTATGTTAGGCTATATATACGTGTCCATAATCGAGTTTATGATTATGAGAACAGATTGTAAAAACATTGGTTTTGAGTGATTTTCCAATTAATCAAAGAGTTATTTTGGTTATTTGTTTTGCATTCTTGTTTTCAAAACTTTACTATATGATATTATGAGTTCAGATTTATTAAAAAAATACAAGGGTCAACAAATCTTACAATATTTTGGCATTACTTAAAGGTTAGATTGCAAGGAAGTTTAGGCGGGGATGCATATGGTTGTGGTGGCAGATTGTTGCATGTATAATTGTTTAATTTTTACTTATATTCCATTAAATCAGATAAATCTTAAATCTCCAACTTGTAGCTAACAGGGTCTGACCAAGAAGACTATTGATTGTACTACATGCAAATCTTTTTGTTATTAGCATTTAACAACATACTTTGTTTTAATAAAAGGTATTTTTTTTATAGTAAATAGTTTCTTATTTTCAATTTTAAAAGAAACGTACTTTATTTTAATTCATCTTTATCATAATGGTTAATTGTTATTATTAGCCATAACCATTATGGTTAACTTGTGCCAACAGGGTCCTGACCAAGTGATTTTGATTGTAGCACATGCAAATCTTCTTGTTATACCATTTCTGACCAAGACTCAAACACACAAATAAGTCTGTTACATTTTACATTACGCATTTAGCAATGTACTTGCAATAATAATCCATTTGTTTACTAGTTTTAACACTTTTTTGTCTGTACCCCTACCCAAAATATCCTAAAACCGACCAAATATTCAACTAGTGTATGGAATGAAGCAGTGGTGGTTTATCTGTATAGTGTTTTTTTCTTTGAAAAAATTTAATTTTTTCTCACATTGACATTTCTCAATTGACGTGTGGTTTCAATTTTTGGTTGTATCTTGAATGGATCTTTGTTTCTAGTCTTCATAGATTTACTCTCAGCTTTGATGGGTCTATTTTTGCTATGATACCGTGGGTGAAATTGTGTTTGGACCAGTTCTTTTGGGGTTGCTCTCGTGATTAAGCTTGGTGGTGTTCTTGTTATGGATGCTGGTGGCAGAAAGTTGATTTGCTGAGCTGTTTACTCCCTTTGACGTTTTTACCTCTGGATATGTCTTGCATCTGTGAGGTGTTTTCTTGATCGGTTTCTCTTATGTGTTCTGGAGCTGCGGGCTTGCTTGCTTTCTTGTTTTTCTTTTGGTATTGCTTGTGTTGCTGGTTGCTGTGTATTTTCAAGATAGTTGGTGGATGTTTGTTCAAGTTCATGACCTTTTTACCCCTGCTTGGAGTTTTTTGGAAGTGGTGTTTGCTGATTGAAGATTTATGTTTCTTTTCTTCTGTTGGTTGCTAGTGGAATAGATTTTCGCTATCCGGACCTTCTTACCCTTGGGGATCTTCTTCTTGCTTAATATCGTTCTCTGTTCTTTGGATCATTAGATTCTTTTGTTTTTGTTGTAGATGGTTGTTTTGTATGCTGGTGTTTGTTGATTATTAACGTCAAAACATGTGTCAAGTTAAAATACTATCGAGTGAAGAAATTCAATTTGTCACCTACATGCTGCCCTTTTTCCTGTAATAAAACTATTTGGCCTTGAAATTAAAACTTATAAGCCTATGGTTACATACTGTCTATATTCAATGTTACATGTGTCAAGTTACAATACTATTGAGTGAAGAAATTGAATTGTTTTGGTGCGGATTCAATAATTTCGTCTTGGTTTTGCTATTGCAACTATGGAGTGCTAGGTCACTCATTAATTAAGGCACATTTACATTTGGTAAAAGAAGTCAAAAAGCCCAGTTGTTTAAAAATGGGTCATATAGCTACTCGAACGTGTATATCTTCTATTAATAGTAATAGAACCCGTTTTTTTTCCAAGAGGCCGGGTTACAAACCCCTATAGCTAAAAGTACCGGTTTTTAAGTTGGGAAACAGGTTATTTAAGTATAACATAGACCCCAGTTCTTTGAGTTAAACCGGGTCATATAACTTTTCTCTTTATAAGTCCCGGTTTTTTGAATATATATCCCGGTTTTGCAAGAAACCGGGTCCTATTTGGCGAGTCCTAAAACGTGCATTGTAGTTATAGATATAAACAAAAGTATAAAGATATTTAATTTTATGTATATAGTTTTGTATAAACGGAACTAGCTCAGTTTTACTCTTTTTACACGTAATAACATATATTAAATTTAGGATTATTAATTTGGGCAAATAGTTTAAAAAATATCTGTTTTGCACCAACAAAATGATATATGGAATTTCAACATTAAATTCTATTTTATTAATGAAAATATACAAATACGTTATATTTTAATCACATAAAATAACATCCACCGATAATATATAGACTTGACTAACGTATTATATCTTGTCGAATTAATGTAGTATACTTAAATAAAAATAGTTTTTTCAATAAATAATTTATCAAATATCATGTCATTTTCTATTTTTCTTTTTAATTCCGGAAATGTCAACTTTTTCAGACTATGACCTTTCATATCAAAATATGATAACTGATAAGGTTACCACCATTTGTTATATTAGTGTATATTTAAAGACGCATTGTTAACAAAATAAGTATTGCTTATCTTTATGTGAAAAATATATATCCTTTTTACAGAATCAAATATACCATATTCTTATTTCTCTTAGAATATTTGTTTTCAAGATTATGATATCATAGTCGTTTTTATCACCTTTTCCAACACTACAATATATGGACACCACTTTTTACTGTAATAAAAGAATAGAAATGTTGATGACAAAAAAAATTTATTCTATGTCAACCACTTTACGAACCTATTTATTAATTTCTAATATAATATTCTCTAGTTAATGCTAAATGAAGAGAATAAATTGGTTGTTTTTTTTTGGTTGACATCGTGCGTTCAATAAATGTAAGACCACTGAATTTTATGTTTCGTATGTGTGCGATTCGTTCAGGTGTTACCATAAGTATTGGTGTACTTTTCCTTGTGGGAATCAGCTTTTCTTTGTTCAAAGTGATCAAGAAAACAAAAGCCAGAAGAATGAGAAAGAGATTTTTTAAACGGAATGGTGGCTTACTTCTAAAACAACAAGAAGAAGCCGACCCATCTTTTGTTGATAAAACTATACTTTTCACGTCACGTGAGTTGGAGAAAGCCACCGACTCCTTCAATGAAAACAGAATTCTAGGTCGTGGAGGCCAAGGTACTGTATATAAAGGGATGTTAGTGGACGGAAGGATTGTCGCTGTGAAGAAATCAAAACTAGTTGATGAAAGTCAATTAGAGCAATTCATTAATGAGGTGGTCATTCTTTCCCAAGTAAATCATAGAAATGTGGTGAAGCTATTAGGATGTTGCTTAGAGACAGAGGTTCCTTTGTTAGTCTCCGAATTCATTTCAAATGGGACTTTGTACGACAGTATACACAATGAGACAAATGAGTTCCCAATTTCTTTCAACATGAGATTACAAATTGCTACGGAGGTTGCTCGAGCACTTGCCTACTTACATTCTGCAACTTCCATACCAATATACCATCGGGATATCAAAACCACTAATATACTTTTGGATGAAAAATACAGGGCCAAAGTTTCGGACTTTGGAACTTCAAGGTTCGTATCAATGGACCAAACTCATTTGACCACGTTAGTCAAAGGTACTTTTGGCTACCTAGATCCTGAGTACTTCCAGTCGAGTCAATTCACTGAAAAGAGTGACGTTTATAGTTTTGGAGTTGTTTTAGTTGAACTCTTAACGGGTGAAAGGCCAATTTCCCTAACTAGATTTGGTGAAAATAGAAGTTTGGCAGTGCATTTCATGTTGGCTATGGAAGAAGGGCGTGTTATGTCTATTTTTGATGCAATGGTGATTAAAGAAAGTAGCTCTGATGAGCTTTTGGTATTAGCAAATCTTGCAATGCGGTGCTTGAATATGAATGGTAAAAATAGGCCTACAATGAAAGAAGTAGCAATAGAGTTAGAAACGATAAGAACATCACACATTCCCTCTATGGTTGAAACTAATACCAGACAGGTTGTGTACGAGGACTTTTCTATGCTAACTTATAGTGACTCAACATCAACATTTTGAGTTCCGCTTACCATAGTAGTAGTTAGTCACAAAAGGTTTGCCCATTGGTATTTAATTTCCATATATTTAAATGCATGTAGTATATGTGGATACATATTAAGGACTCTCATGTCAATTAAATACATTATTGTATGTTATTCTAAATTTTATATTATTCTAAGATTCTTATTTCTCAAGTACCAGTCTAGCTATTTGAATTGTAATTTGATGATGTCAATGTTGATAAAAGATTTTCCCATGAATTCCAAAATTGTATTCCACCAATTATATAATACACAAGGTTAAAAGGACTATGAATGTTGGCTAACTAGGCCACATACAAAAAATGATTACAATATAACTATAACATATACAAATATATACGACTAACATCCCATGCAGTCGGAACGGGAGGTCTTGTACGGACATTTAGAGATCTGAAGTCAAGAAATCAACATGTGATAGAAGTCATTTGGTGAATATGTCAGCATACTACTAGGATGACGATGGGACGCATAAAACTCGAATTTGACCAATAACAACTTTGTCATGCACAAAGTGAATATCAATCTCTATCTTTAGTGTGTTGATGTTGAACATAATTGGTGGACACATAAACGGCACTGACATTATCACAATACACAAGGGTTGCAAAAACGAGTGGGTAGTGATGCTCATAAAGTAAGTCGTACAACCAACAGGTCCTGGAAACTGCGTTTGCAACGCCACGATACTCGACCTCAATACTAGAACGAGAGATGGTACCTTGTCTCTTTGAAGACTAAAGAACGAGCTGACCCATAAAAAACACATTAACCATATGTGGAACAACGAGTGGAGGGGCATCCAGCCCAATCAACATTAGAGTAGGCAATTAGGCCATGAGACGTAGACGCATATAGTTGAAGACCGTGATCAACGGTACCACGAATGTATCGCAAATGCGCTTGAGAACGGTGAAATAAGGCTCTCGAAGATCATACATGAAGAGGCAAACCTACTGGACAACGTATATGATGTTTAGTCTCATAAATGTGAGATACTTAAGGGCCCTTGGAAGGCTCCTATAGAGAGTAGGGTCAGATACAAGAGGTCTGGAGCCGTTAAATTTTTTTGAGGTGTCAGCTGGAGTGCAGGCTAGTTTAAAATTTAGCATCTTAGCTTGCTTAAGTATTTTTGAGGCGTACTATTGTTGAGATAAGAACATGTCATGACTGTCTCTAAAAACTGCAATGCCCAAGAAATAGTTCATAGCTCCTAATTCAGTCATGGCAAAATCCAAACAAAGAGTAGTGATGACATGTTTGTAGAAGACTGGAAGATGTACCAGTTAGAACAATATCATCAACATATAGAAATAAGTAAGCAATCTGATCACCTTGTTTGTAGACGAATAAAGATGAGGCATACTTATTGTTTGAAGTAACCAAACATGATCCACAAAGAATCTATCATGAAAACATGGGGGCTAATTCATGTAGACAGTCTCCTGAAGGTGACCATGAAGAAATGCATTGTTGACATCCAACCGATGAATTGACCAGTGGTGTCAAATAGCCAAGCCAAGTATACTACGAATAGTAGCCAGTTTGACAATCACGATAAAAGTCTCATCACAATCAATATCAGTTCGTCGTATAACATCCCATGTTTTGTCATTTGAAGTCCCTGGGGATGGAAGGGTAAAGCCATGAAGAGCCTAAGGGCTTGATGAGATAAAATCTCTAAGATCGTTAAGATCTTTTGCAGGTTAATCAATGAAGAACAAACAATTATATTAAACAAGACAATGAACACAAGATGGAATCAATATAAAGCTTAATGATTCAAATGTAGTCACGCCTCAGTAGAGCTCGATTAAGAACTTCCACTGTAGAGGCGAGCTAGGGTTTACAATACGATAATGAAAATAAAAAAGTGTTAATTACTAAGGATGCATGCATGCACCTTAAATACTAAAACCCTAGAACAAAACAAAACACAGTTGGACAGGCCCAAACCGGTTACAAAACCGGGCTAATCAAACCGAGCCCAAGACGCAACATTCAGAACTCAACAATCTCCCTCTTTGCGTCAATTGGGGCGAGACCTTTACTTCGGTTGATTAACAGCTGCTCGCTTCACCACCTTGAACAAGTTTGGAATTACAGCAAGAAGGACTTGGCGAAAGTAGATATACCATCTTATCATATATGTGGAGTACTTCTTATCGCTTTCACTATTTTGCTTACACCTGTGAATGATTCCCAAAACATACTCCAAGCACGAAGTAGTAAAGAGATGTTTATCAGTTAGAGCGAACAGGCATTTCTTGCTTTCTTGCTTGGTGAACATCACCGAGTTCAGCTTCGGGTCAATCTTTCCCATTTTCATCTTGTTGACATCGCTTGCAGAACCAACAAGCAAAATGGTGGGCTTCTTTCTGAGAACTAAAGCGATCTCGTGATCCATCTTGGCTACCTCCAGAATGTAGCAAACTAACATTCTTTTCAAATGATCAATGATTGGCTCGTATTCGACTGGGTTAGAGAGAAGAGTGTTGTGTAGAACAATCCAATCATGAGGATTGAGATTAGGTAGGTCAGCAAGGGAGAATGTATGCTCAGACTTGGCCAAACCTCTGGTAACCTTGAATTTGACGTTGATGGATTTCCCTACTACGTGAGGCTTAAGGACCCGAACTGTGATCATTTTCTGAGCACTCTAAGTAAGATATTGAGGTTGAGCGAACTCCAAATAGTAGTCGATTCGCTCACGATCAACCTTTGGGTCTGGATGAGGTACTTCTACGATAGAAAGAAAGCTGTGAAAAACAAATGCCTTCCGGGTGATTGGCATATTGAATTGAGAGTCCCTTGTATTTTCACAATCCAAAGACATTACTGGCTCAAGCCAATGAGTGCTAGGGGATTCGATAGCCTATTTGATTAGCTTCTCCAGAGTCCAGAGGGGAAAGAGGGTTTTCTTGCTTTCCAGAAGGTCATGAGCCTCCTTTAATCTTTTTTTATTCTCTTCATCTTCCCTTGCAATCTTGGCAGTGAGATCGAGTTCCCTTTCCATTGCCTTTCGCTTCAGAGTATTAGCTATTGTCTCATCTTCCTCATCACTGTCATGCACAATACCCTTTCCTTTATCCTTAAAGCCCAAACTCGAAGCATGCTCAGTCTTCTGTTGTTCCAGCTGGGTAGTAGGAGGAGGTTGAGACAAAGTTGTTAGTCCTTCTCCCCCTTGTTTCGGAGGTACCATAGTCTCCGAAACACCTTCGATGCGACTCAACATCCCAAGTACAGGATGGAGTTTTTCAGCAAGATGTCGTCTAATGGATATGGTAAAGACAGGGTCGAGAGCCTCCAGAACGTTCGATAGAATGTCGTGTATGTCTGAGATACAACTCTTGACGACAACCCTTTCAGAGCGAATTTGATCAACCTCCTTGGTTGCCTAAGAAAGGAGGAGATTTTGGTTTTCAGCTGAGTAGTCTTGAGAGTGATATCATCCATGATGGAGCTTTCTATGGCCAAATCAGCTTGGAGCTTTGTGAGATGCTCATTGAGAGAGGACAGAAGTGCAACATTATCCTTTTGAATGTTTTGGTGAAGGGAGGCAAAATGTTGCTTCTCAACATCAAAGGATTCTTTAAGTTTGGCAATGGTGTTGTTCACTTTAGAAGCGTTCAACTCAGCTACTCCCTGTAAAGACTCGAGAAAGATATTAGCGTTGTGAAATAGTTTATCGACTTTTTCAATCGCATCCGTGCAAACTTTGGTTGAGGCTGCAATAGCATATGTGGCTTTAGAAATGGATGCTTCATGAGCCTTGACAAAAGTGTCAACCATGCTCTGAATAGAAGCTTCAGAGTAAGGATGGTGAGAGGAGGAATATGCTTTTTGGTAACGGGAGCATCATCATCTTCATCAATCTAAACTCAGTAGGGATTGTAGTAGAAGGAATCAAAATCCATTTCATCACCACCAAGGATAATATTGGTTTCAGTTGAAGGTGTGGGAGATAGTGGTTTGGATGTTTCAGGGACTGAAGACCGAACCCCAGTATCAGATACATTGGTTTGAACTTCAGTTGTGGTGGAGTTGTAGCATCAGAGAACATAGGAGGAGGAAGTAGAATAATAGAAGTGGGTTGTGAAGTGATAACTGGGAAAGTGGGAGGTAAGGAAATAGGAATGGAAACAGGTGGAGGAGAAGATGTTTTGGAGCGAACTTGTACCTCTGGTGTAGCGATCGAGGTGGGGTATCACCACGAACCGAACCCTCATCATCAGAGCTTTCGCTCTCAGATGCACTAGGAGTAGGTTGTTTATGTCCAATAGGGATATACTTTGAGTCAGAGTTGCTTGATGACTGAAGGATAAGTTTCTAAGCAGGCTTCTTGGTCTTCTTCTGCTTGGGCTGGGAAGGTGCTGCCTTCTCAAACTTTCGCTTCCTAGGAGTTTGCCCCTTAGCTCCTTTGGTAACCCTTTCTTCCTTCTTCTTTTCTTGTTTCTTTCCCCTATTTGTTGTCTTGTCTACTTCCTCAATGGAACGAATCATTGTAGGTGTGAGTTCCCTTAGGCCAAAGAAGGAAGCTTCTTGTACTATTGAATTACATTACTCGCCTCAGACACACAGGCATACATGGATGCCAGAATCAATCCAATAAACACATACTTGGATGGATCAATGACAATTATCTTCGTCATGTGTAATGTTACGATGGAGGAGAGAAGCGAGTCCGCCATGATCGGGACATGAAAACGATCCATTACCCATTTTGCGACAATTGTCCAGATGTTGCCACACGAAAGTTCAGAATGGCGAGAAGAGGAGGATAAACTTTGAACAATCTATTGCCATAGGACCAAACCATAGTCGATATGGATCCTGTTGTATAACCCATAAAGCATGGTCATGAACGAATTGCTCGCCCCATCTGATCCAGCGCTTCGCTCTGACAGTCCTTTGAACAGGAGAGTGAAGAGGCCATTCCATTATGGAGGAAGGCATGATTTCTTGAACCTCGTTACG